CGTAGTTGGTAACACTACTGCCTGACCTGTCTGTCTGCAGCCCGAGCGGTGGAGGCCATGTGGAGGCCAGCCCCCCCTCCTCCCCTCCACCGACCCCCCAGATGAGGAAGAGGAGGCTGTACAGCGCCGTACCGGGACGCACCTTCATCGCCACCCGGTCCCACGTCCCCCAGGGGCCCGGAGAGATCCAGCTGCACCGAGGAGAAAGGGTGAAAGGTCAGACTGTAGCTCCGTGTGTACAGTGAAGACGGTAGTACTTTGGTGTATATCTGCAGTAGTAATACTTTAATACTGTGTGTTGTGGATCTACAGTTCTGTCTATCGGTGAAGGAGGATTCTGGGAAGGAAGTGTTAAAGGAAGAACCGGTTGGTTTCCTGCCGACTGTGTTGAGGAAGTCCAGATGAGACAATACGACTCACGAACGGGTAAATAACAACAATAATAATGATGTTTATGGCTGGGTGTAACATTCAATATATGAAACAGATGAGATGTTGGTGAATCCTATTCTATATATATATACTGTACCTTATGATTTATATGTTTCAGAGACGAGGGAGGACCGCACTAAGAGACTGTTCAGACATTACACTGTGGGGTCCTATGACAACTACACCTCCTACAGGTGATACACCGTCATTACTCTGCTGGTTCGTTCGGTGGTTCATTTATTGGCTTAAACTGACAACACACACATATGTAATGAAATAAAATGCAGACAAAATATCAGTTGAGAACGCTGCTTTAAATATCATAATTAGTAACTAAAAAGAATAGTTAAATAATAGTTTTTTTACAGATATCAATGATATTCATGAGCTACATGATGTTAGTAAAACTTCTGTTTATACTACACAGAATACATGGTACCCACTACAAATATAATGTTTAATCTGAATCAGCTTTATCGGTCAAGTATGTAAAGATTTTACACAGAATATGATGCAAAAATGTAAACAAGTGAAGTAGTATGATGCACATATTTGTTTCCATACTTATTTCTATTTCTCTCTGTTTGTATATATTTCTATTCTAGAATGGAACTGTAACGTAACCCAATGTAAACCCTGGAACTGTCTTAAGCTTTCTAACTCTCTGCACAGTTTATTTAGAATTCTTGAATTTACTTTTGAATCTAAACTACCAATAAACCTGAGATTTGACTTATTTATTTGTCGGTTAGTGACTATGTGATCGAGGAGAAGACGGCCGTGCTGCAGAAGAGAGAGAGCGAGGGATTCGGCTTCGTCCTCCGAGGAGCTAAAGGTAGAAACAGGAGGATGATGGACGAGCGGTGGGTGTTCGGAGGTGTTGAGGAAAGAAAAAAGAAAGATATTTAAAACAGAGCGAAGTCTTCAGAGGAAGACCGGTGAGCTTTATAAAGTCCTCGCTGTGTCGTTTCATAATAACTACAGAGTCCACTGAGTCTTATCCTTGAAAGACTACAACCCCCATCCTATCATGTAGCAGTGGAAGAAGTACTCAGATTAACTTTAATTACTGAAGTAAAAGCAGCAAAACAATGTAAAAGATATTCTGTTACAGGTAAAAGTCCTGCATTGAAAATCTTACTTGAAGAAACAGTGAGTAACATTTAAGGGATCCATTGGCAGAAATTAAATATAATATAATGAATATGTTTTCATTTTTGTAAAAATCGCCTGAAAATACAAATAGTTGTGTTTTTGTTACCTTCAAACGAGTCATTTATCTCCTGATACGGAGTGGATCCTCTTCACGAAGCCGCCATGTTTCTACAGTAGCCCAGAAGGGACAAACCAAACACTGGCTCCAGGCACAGTTTCTGAATATGGGTGTATTTCCTCCATGGATTGTGCGTTTTGATCATAGACTGTATTTAAGAAGTAGACGTAGTCATAGTGGCGCTGTTGGTTTGTGGGCTGCCGTTTTGAAGTTTCGAGTTTAGCGATTTCGCTGTCGCCATCTTGGATTATGGAGCCCTGTCGCCATCTTGGATTATGGAGCCCTGTCGCCATCTTGTTTTTTCTGCAACCAGTGAACAGGAAGTGACCATATCTGGACTGAGGAGGAGTGACGTAGAGACGGCGTATACGTCTGTGGTAGTGACCTGTCAATCACCGTGTAGCCCCGCTCTAAAGCATCCCCTGCTTTATGGTCTGTGTGACTCTAAATGGACCATAATGTACTAAATGAACATCATGCTGTATTGAAGAAGACTTGAAACTAGAGATTGAGACCATAAACTCATGTTTACAATGTTTACTGAGGTAATAGATCAAGAGAGAAGTAGAGTCATTTTCTCATAGACTTCTATACAACCAGAGGAGTCGCCCCCTGGTGGTCACTAGAGAGAATGCAGCTTTAACACATGAAGCACTGGTTTCACATTGTGCGGCGGTTGCCGCCTGGTTTTGATACTTTTACAGTATTTATGTTGCATTGAGACCTGGTTTATTATAAAAAAGACGACAATGTGGAACCTTTAAAGAAACCTCAACTTGGACACAGTCCTGAATGAGGACTAGTCAGTTGTATAAAAACATATCGTCTATTTTTTTCTGCCTCTTTCTTCAAGCCGAGACCCCCATCGAGGAGTTCGCCCCCACCCCGGCGTTCCCCGCCTTGCAGTACCTGGAGTCTGTGGACCAGGGTGGCGTGGCCTGGAGGGCGGGGCTACGGACCGGAGACTTCCTCATAGAGGTACATCGCCCGTCCTCTCACGTGTGGCATCAAACATCAAAGGCTCTGTGACTCACCTGTGTGTGTGCCGTCCAGGTGAACGGCGCTGACGTGGTGAAGGTGGGTCACCGGCAGGTCGTCTCTCTGATACGACAGGGAGGAAGTCGCCTGCTCATGAAGGTCGTATCTGTTTCCAGGAAATCTGAGACCAACCTGATCCGGAAGAAAGGTCTTTTATTCATTTAAATCTAATCCATTCGGCTCTTTCTATATTTGGTTACATTGATGTGAAATCAAACCTTAACATTGTGTTTCTAGTTTTACATTTAGAGATGTGCATCACAGGTTAGTTTGAATTTAAATCTCTTGTTTGTCAAGTTTTAAAAATACCGAATTTAGTCGGTTTTCTCAATATATAAAATGTAAATAACTCTTTTGGTGTCATGCGGGACATGAAGAGCGGTTTCCTGGGTGAAAGTCTTAAGTTACTGAAATTGACCCGTTCTTTAAACTGGCGTGTTTTTCGTTCACCGTTTGTTGACACCACGCTGAACTTTGTTTGTTCTCACTAACTTGATCTTGTGGTTGGTTCTTGTCTTGTAGCTCCGCCCCCTCCAAAACGAGCCCCCAGCACCTCGTTGACACTCCGATCCAAGTCAATGACCGCTGACCTGGAGGACATAGGTAAAACAAACAAACACACACACACACACACACAGAGTTAAGTCAAACTGCAGGAGTGTGTGTTGTTGACCTTTGTTCTGTCTGCAGCCAGGAGGAGACGCTTCGGTGAGTCACTGAGTCTGATGATGTCGTAGTGGTTTGTTTTTGTGGCTTTTATTTGTTGTTCTGACGTAAAGCTGCAGTGACGATAACGTTGGTCTGATGGCATCATGTGTCAGTGATGTCATGTGTCAGTGATGTCATGTGTCAGTGATGTTACAGTCAGGGCCGTAGCTGACACATGTCCTCACCAGTTGTGGAGGAAGTATTTAGATCCTTAAGTTAAGTAAAAGTCCTAAAAATATTCTATTACAAGTAAAAGTACTATTAGCACACTGTATACATATTCTGTTACAGTAATAGTACTAATACAACACTTTTACTTCCCATCTGCTATTTTAAAAATAACTCAATATTTCTAAAATCCTGTCTACGGCCCTGGTGACTCATGTTATGATGTCATGTAGTGATGTCATGTTGTCGTGGTTGTGATGTCATGAGTCTGTGTTTCATTATTTTAGTTTATCTTGTTTTTGTGTGTTTCCTCTCATCTCTTCGCTCCAGACAAACTGGATGAGATGTTGGCCGGAGGTCAACAGGAAGTAGTTCTCAGGGCTCGACCGTCGGACGACTTCAGAGCGGCGACGGTGAAACAGAGACCAACGAGCCGCCGGATCACACAGGCTGAGATTAACGTAAGACTAGCGATGCTACAACGTCATAAACGGTCATAAACATCGTCCGAAGGCTGAATGAACCCCAAATAAACTGACTTTGCTGATCAAAAGGATGCAGAAAAAAGCTTCATCACGACGCCGATATGTAAATAATCTGAAGTCAAGTTTTGTCACGTCTGTCCACAAGTGAGCAACTTTTAAAATGCTTGTTTTCTGAATGAAGTCTGGGATCGATCAGTACTAGGCTATGCTAACACTGTAGCAGCTCCATCATCCAGAAACATTTTAAAGCAACATTTTTGTTATTTTTTCCGGCTTTTATCCAATTTATTTCAATTATTTCTCTATTTATGCTTCAAAATATTAACATAAAGCACATGATAATTCTCTGGTTGAAACACTCACAGCTTTGTTTAAGGACAACAGTTCACAGATGAATGAAGGGATTTAGTCTTTTGGACTAAATGTTTGTCTGTGTTTGCATCTGCAGTCGCTGTTTGAGCGTCAGGGTCTCGTGCCTCCTTCAGCTCCACAGAAAAGCACCATGGCTTTACCTCGAGGGATGTCCAGAACCAAGAGCTTTGGTGAGACACACACACACACACACACACACACAGTATTTTATATAGATAAATATCATTATATACAGTGCAGGAAGTAGTCAAAGTAGTGATACCACAAAAACACTATGTTACAAGTTAAAGTCCTGCATTCAAAAATGTACTTAAGTATCAAATACTATTTATATATTATTCATACAAAAACAATACATATACAGTATAATAATTAGCGCTTAAGCAGTAAGTTGATTTGTGAAGAGATTTGTTCATTTTGTAATTTATTTTAAGTAAATTTTTTTTAATTTTGTGATGTTTTTTTGTTCGGGCACCTTCACTGAAACGTCTCCATGCTCACAGGCACACCTGAGGACGACAGGATCTCGTCTCTGATCAATGAAAGTCGGTTTCCACGGAGCTCCTCGCTGACGGACAGCTTCATCCCTCCTCCTCCTCAGATGGCTCCGCCTCCTCCTCCCTCCGCCTCCTCCTCCACCTCCTCGCTCTTCCTCCTAGACTCCGGCCCTCCTCCCTCCTTCCTCCCACCTCCTCCCCCAGCCAGAGGGGAGGGGCTCACCCGCTCCAGCTTCAAGCCGGGGGCGGAGCCGAGGCTCCAGGAGCTATGCGATTCGCCGACGAGGAGCCACGCCCATGCCGAGCGGCAGAGGAAGGCGAGGTCGATGATCATCCTGCAGGACACGCCGCCGCAGCTGCAAGCCGACGCACACGCCGCCGCAGCCGCGCTCACGCTGCACACCGCCACGCACACTGCCACGCACACCGCCACGCACTCCGCCACGCATACCGCCACGCACACCTCCACGCTGTCTCTCCACAGCACAAGCCCCGCTCTCGGTCACTCGCCGCTGTCGCGCCGCCGGGGACGACCAATAGAAAACCCGTACGCTAATGTGGGACAGCAGGCTCCGCCCTCCAAGCCCCAGAGGAGGAAGTCGCCTTTGTTAAAACAACTTCCTGTGGAGGAGCAGGGTCAGGATCCGTCTCACTGTTGTCTTTCTGCTTTTTATATAAGTTATATTTGTGTCTCCTTCTTGATGCACGTTGAGAAGTTTTGTGCAAAAACATTTAGAGCTGTTCCAAATACTTCGAAGCTTCATTGATAACGTGGACATTCAACGTCTAAAGTCTAGTCATTGTGATCCTGGTATTTCTCATATTACGCAAGTTAGTTAGTTTGAGCTTACTTGAAATCTGCAAGCAAAGTATACATTGTCTTAGCTACTAGCAATAGCCAGGATGCTAGTGTGGTTAATGCTAGTGAGTAAATCAGTGACCCAAATAAACTCTTTGCAATTATCAAGTTAGCAAATTACCTTCCAATACAAATTCAAATAAGTAGCATTTATTAAACAGATTCTTGTCTACTCAAATTAAATGATTATTTCTTTAATAATCATTTATTTACAAAACACATTTTTGTCATCTCAAACTGTCCCGTTACCTGCACAGGACTCCTAATGTCACTCCAACCAGTCTAACTTCCTGTTTTTTCTTCTTCTTCTAGGACTCAAAGACCTCGATTTGTTGAGAGTAGACGGAGGACACTGCAGCCCGAGTCGGGCGGAGCTTTACCAGCAGCAGGTTCTTTCGGAGCGCTCTCGTGTTCAGGGTCGCAGGTCGTCTCTCTTCCTGTCTGTGGAGGGAGCCGGGTCAGAGAACCAGGTGCCGCCCCTCCTGACTCTGAGCCATTCGATGGACGACCTCGGCGAGCTTCCACCGCCGGCTCCGGTCCTGTCGCCCTCTCCGATGCCTCACACCTTCCTCCACCCGTTGACAGGGAAACCTCTGGGTCAGTCTCTAGCTGTGGAGTCTGGATTCATTGTGTGAAGTGACAATAATCAAGCTTGTAGATACAAATAAGAAGTGGGCTGGGCAAGAATTAAATTTGATAATTTATCGTCTTTCAATTTAATCATATTGTATAAGATTAGAAGATTGATTCGTATAAGAGGATACAAAACCATGTGGTTATTTCGTATAGACTATTTATCGATATCATGATATATATATTGTTATCGAGATATGAAATTACTTAACTTAAAATAAAGGACGACCTAAGACAGAGCCTTGAGGCACTCTGCAAAACAGTAGGGAACCTAGGACAGAGCCTCCAGGTTCTCCACAAAATAGAGGAAGACCTACCACAGAGCCTTGAGGTACTCCGCAAAATAGAAGGGAATCTGCGACTCCAACAATATAATGAAGCATGAAAATTCATCTGTCCTAAAACTTCCCACCTTTAATTTTTTCTTCTTTCCTCAGACCCCTCATCTCCACTCGCCCTGGCGCTTGCTGCACGTGAACGAGCGCTCACAGCCCGCACGCCGAGCCCAGAGCCGAGACTAAAACACATATCTGCCTCCACTACACCCATACTGACCCCGGCTGCCAGCCCCGAGGGCAGACACAAGCGAACCCCTATCACCACCCCGCAGAGTAGCCCCGAGCCACGGTCCAAACGCACCACCCCTCAGACGAGCCCCGAGCAACGAACCAAGCGCACCACTCCCCAGACCAGCCCTGAGCTGAGGCATAAACACATAACCCCGCCCTTGTTCCCTGACGGACAGGTGGAGCGTCCAGAAACCGAGGGAGGAGTGACATCACCCGCCGGCCCCTCCCCTGAGCGCTGGAGACCCACCCCCTTGCCATCGCTGGCCAATGAGAGTCACCCTGCTCTGATTGACAGGCGGAGAAGCCTCACAGTGGGCAGCTCAGAGGAGGAGGGCGGGGCTTACACAGTTACACTCCCACCAGCGTTATTGTCGTCCAGTGATGAGGAAACTAGGGAGGAGCTTCGCAGAATTGGCCTGGTAACTCCACCCGCTGCCTTCGCCAGTCCTCCTGCTCTTCCTCCCCCATCCTCCCTCACCCTGTTGCCACGGCGAGGTGGGGAGGGAGGGGGAGGAGAGAGTGGTACTGAATCCCTGAGTAGACAAGGCGAGGAGGAGGAAGGAAGTGACGAACGACTCCACGACAGCTCCTCCCCCAGCTCACTCCCTCCCTCCATTACCTTGGCATCCCCTTCTGATCCTTCTTCCCCCTCCTCCCCTCCGGCTACTCAACCTTCCCCCTCCTCCCCCGTCACCTCCCCATCTGGTTTTAAGCCTCGCCTTCGTTCACCTATAGGTCGGGGCCGCTCTGCACTCCGTGACCCACTACTGAAGCAGTCATCGGACAGTGAGCTCCTCCCGTCTGCCGCGTCCGGCTCCTCCCCTTCCTCCCCACTCTGTTCCTCCCCCACCAGTGGCGGCGGACGGCAGCCACGCTATCTGTTCCAGAGGAGGTCGAAGCTGTGGGGGGGCGGGGACGACCGCGACGAGCGGCGGGGCTTCGGCCCGGACGAAGGGGGACGTCCAGTGGCACTGGGAGGTCAGGGGTCGGCGTCAGCCGTGGATCTCAGCGGCCGGTCGGCATCAGCACTGGAGCTGAGCGGCAGGGCAGGGTCTGGACTAGATCTGGCTAATCGGCTACAGCTGCTAAACAAAGACAGTCACTCTCTTGGGGAGGAGCCGAGTCCCCTCGATCCGGGCCGGAGGTCCCCAGTAGGAGGTGCCAGGTACTACGAACAGCCTTTTTTCTGTAAATACTGCAGTACTACTGATCTGAGTACTACTGTCTATGTGTGCGCATGTTGTAACAGAATCTGTTTTGTGTTGTTCCAGATATGTGGACAATGAAGACAGTAAATCGTAGGTTTTTATCTCTGGTAAACATTTCTCGTTATCGCTACGGGAGGATTTCCGTTTCCTAACAGCTAACTAACAAGCACCTTCGCAGATGACTAACTACTAAATGTCTGAAATTACTGTCCCATCCGTCTTTTAAATACAACCTTGGAATTGGTCATTTGCTTAACCCCCCCTTGTCCGATTATAGCTTAGCATCCGTAGCAAGGCCTGTCAAGCTTTGAGTTTCTCAACATGTGGTATGCATACGACCATCGTAAGAGCATCCAAAAAACGCAAGAGCAATAACGCAAGATGTATGTTTCACCTGTTGAACTGCTCTAATGTTAACATAGCCGACTAACAAGCACACCATCTCCAGCAGCACCTCAGCGTTACTTCTAAGGCCAAGAATTAGCATGTCATTGGTTTCATTTTTGCCTCTCCAGATTTGTTCTATAGCGAGCAAAGCATCCAAACTGTGTTACGTTAGCTTTGCTAGGACACAAAAACAATGCTCTGACATTTTGTTTCCATGTCCTCTACATGTGCTAGGGACACGTTAGCGTTCAACTAATCAACTGATAACTGTGCTAAGTGATATCAATGTCATTCATATATTGTTTACTGTGTTGCAGGTTGTTCTCCAGTCTTGGTGAACTCCACACTATCTCCCAGCGAGGATACGGTGCCAGCTATACAGTCCGACCGGGGAGCCGCTACCCTGTAACCCGTCGGAGCCCCTCCCCCTCTCCCTCCCCATCTGATAGGTCAATAGGGCACGCCTCCTCCACCGCCCCTTGCACTGAAAGGCCAGATCTGAGCTCGGGTCGCGGTCTAACCATCCTGAAGTCGTCCAGTCTCAGCCTCCCCTCAGAACCCAAGGAGGTTCGGTTCGTGATGCGAAGCGCCAGCGCACGGACCAGGTCCCGTTCGCCCTCGCCCTCGCCCCATGCCTCTCCATGCCCCTCCCCCGTCCTTAGCGGGCCCCTATTGGCCCTTCGGCCGTGGAGGCAGCGGCCCCTCAACTTGTGGAATAAATACGATGTGGGCGACTGGCTGGAGAGCGTGGGCCTGGCCGAACACCGCCAGCGCTTCCAGGAGCACGAGATCGAGGGCTCCCATCTCCCCGCTCTCACCAAGGAGGACTACGTGGAGCTAGGCGTCACCAGACTGGGACACCGAATCAACATCGAGAGGGCGCTCAGACAGCTGCTGGATGGTCCCACTTGACCCATCACCTCTGACCACAAACCTCTAGACATCCTGAACTGTGACCTCATAACCCCTGACCTCTGGTCAGACACTAGGCCATCTCTTTGACTAGAATATCTTAGCAGTGACTGAATCTTTAGACCTTTTTACCAACGTGGAGCTCAGCCTTCTGAGTTATCTTGCTGACATTTTGGCTTATCAGCTCTTTGATCGACCCAAACGGACCGGTAGCACCAATGTCTGTGTCCAGTAAAACGCTTTGGTGTCATTTTAGATCTCCAAGATTTAGTTTGACCTCTGTTAACTGTCTAGTGCCTCGTGTTTATGCTGTAAAAGCCCTCAACGAAATGTCTCTATTTTAAGGTAAACAGATCCCCAGTGAGTTATCCTGTGAGGTTTTTGGCAGAACTTTCTTGCCAAAAGTGCAAAGTCAAACAGTGCACAGAACATGGCCATCGTTTCCAATGGAATGATCAGCTGCAGGAGCCATAACAGCATGCACTCTGCTTATATTACATAAGGTTTTGAGGCCAAAGTTCAAGTACATTGAACTTTACCACCAAATGCATCGACCTCCACAACACAAAAATTAGATTCTGGTATTGACGGAAATATTTAAGTTAAGAGTGCGACAATTCAGGCCGGAGAACAATGTTCTTACGCCACTCTACATTGCACAAAATTTTCATTAGTATGTTTTTTTTATCCAAAACCAGCCAGAGGAATGATACCATTTTGTACGACCCCAAATATAAGGCGATAAGGTCTGAGTATGTCCAAACATCATTCTTGTACATTTTGATGTACAAGAAAACAGAAATGTTTGGAGCGGTTTCACTTTTGAAACTTTAGAAACCCCAATCAACAGTCCAAAACCCAAAGATATTCATTGTACGATCATAAAAGCAAATTTCTTGCAATTTTTTTGCCATTTTTTGCCATTTTTGCCTAACAAAGACAACAATCAATCAGTTATTAAAGTGGTTGCTGAACACATTTTTTTGCTGACTAATCAACTAACTGTAATGTTTTCAGTGTGTTTCACACTAATGTTATTCATGTCCATTCACATCAATTGAAATTTTACCTGCCGTTGCTAACGTTCTGTGCTAGCTAGCAAAATACTTTTCTTTTTAATTCAAAGAGTTCTGTAACGCAGCCGCTAAATAAAGTTTATTTTCTTTGTATTCCGATCTGGATCACAAGAAGATACCAGAGTTTTGATTAAAGCTAGTTTATAACATCCACCGCATTACGTTAGCTTACTAAGCTAGTCACAGCGGAGACACAGAGCCATGAACAGGTGAAGGGTCATTGATCAAAGAGCTGATTTGACAAACTGATAAATACAATGAGACGGGTTATTTTCCTCGTGCCATTTTGCTTCCCCAGACGAGTTCAGCTGGACTTGTTATGCGAGCAGAGCTGGACGATGAGCGAGCGACTGGAAGTCTCTACCTTAACAACATCAGGGGAGATTAGCTGAGGATATTTCTCCGTCTTTTCTTGTGACTTATTTTAGTTTTTCTTCCAAATATCACTCATGAAGAATTTGTGTTTTATTTTGAGTTCATAATCTTAACGCCGATCATTTAGAATTTATGAATAACAAGTAATAATAATGTGGTGGTGATGACTTACAGAGTTTATAATCGTTTGGAAAATGATTTTGAGTTCCTTATGATTTGACAATGAGTTGAATTTCGAGGTCATTTCGGTGACGTTTTTTGAATATTCATGATGATTTGTCAATGAGTGTGACTTTGTGCTGTGTGTTTCAGGGAGAGCTGCAGCAGAGCTCCTACTGGTTTCTAACCTGCTTATCGAGGGCTTACTGTACATGGTGCTATCTGTTTAAAGCCATCTGTACAGAAAATACCTTCCCCTCCTATTCCTTCCTCACACTAACACATACAACTCTTAGCTTAACTCCCTCTGAACTCTATTATTCCTAACTAATCTAAAGCGTGGCTGTACCTGCCATAACCATCCCGCAGTAATGGTGACTTTGCCAGGAACAGGCCATATATGGAGTTTCCTCCCTGCCATATTGGGGACTTCTTCCCTGCCATACGTGGAGTTTCCTCCAGATCATATGTAGAGTTTCCCAGAGTTTAAAAACAGGCCTTAAAAGATGCCTGATTACGGTGTATCGTACGTTCACGTGAAGTTAAAATGCTGTCCCACCTAAATATGTTGCCCATTTACTTCTATGAAGAACAATGCAGGACGTTTTCATTCCGGCTTACAAAGCTTCACGAAAAGTTACATTAGATAGTGTGGGTGGAAGTCACATTTATATGACTGCACAGTGAAATACTACAAGTATCAGAAGAACAAATGCTGCTTTTCTGCGAGTCAAAGAACAATTATAGAAGTTAATGAAAATAAAGTAGGGCTGGGCCCATTATATTCTGCAGGGCTTCATGTGCAGGATATTTAAGGAGGAGTTATAAAAAGACCTGCATCACTACGCATAAGGCTGTAGCCAATAATTCAAAGATTCAGATCAGCCTACACTAATATTATTATTATGCTATTTGTAGAAGTAGGCTGCGTAGGATTGTGTCAGAGTTGTGGGATCCAAACATTTCCAATAACTCCAGACAGTTATAAAGTCAAAAAGTGAGAGAATACACAACGCGTTTCTATCCAACGAAGTGTTCTGCTTTTAATCCACATTTGTTGGCGTTTAGCTTTTAAAAAACATTTTCACCGGTCAATCAACTATTTGCAGCAATCTAACGCAACATAATTACATTTATATAACCACAATTACAAAAATCTATTTTGTCTCTCTTTTCTTTGAGGGTGTGAAAACACTAATAGTTTAATAGAAGCTTCAAATGTTTAAAAAACAACAAAAGAAATCATCAACAATAAGTCTTGATGTATCGCCCAGCCCTAAGAAACAAGCATTTTACACGAGCTGTACCATTTACAGTTTTTGGAATGCTATTGCTAGCCTGCCTGCCTTGCTAGCTGACGCACTTTATACTTAAAACTCTGTCACGCTAACGTTTCACCACATTATGCAAGTAAATGACATCCAGCGAAATCTGGTCCGGCCGCACAAAATTAGTGGACACAACTCTTAAAGAAACAGTTGCTTCTTTTTGCCATCTATAGGTCCTTTTAGCCTAGCTTAGAACAAAGACTGGATGCAAGGGGAAACTGCTAGCCTAGCTTTATCAAAAGTGGAAAACATGCACCTTCCAACGACCGAGCTGTCACATTTACATGTTGAATCTTGTTATCTAGCAGTAGTGGAATGTAACTAAGTACATTTGCTCAAGTACTGTACTTAGGTACACACTTGAGGTACCATTTACCAGTTAGTTACTTTTCAGATTACATTTTTCGTGTTTACTGAAAACCACGAACCTCCATTTTATTGTAGTGAATACTTTTCATACTTTACTACCTTTTTTGCTGATAATACTTACATACTTTGACTTCAGGAAGGTTTTGAATGCAGGACTTTTTACTTGTAGTGGAGTATTTTCGCAGCGTGGTATTAGAGACTGCTGCTAAACCCGCAATGTCTCATTTTTATTTCATTACACCTGCACAATAAACAAGGTACAGCACGTAAATAACATCTCTGAAGTCACTGGAAGGTGTATTTCTTCACTCTTTTAATAACGAGCTAATCATCATGAACTGTAATTTGCTACAACTCACTCTCTTCTTAAGCTCACATAATAAATTCACTAAATAACCTGCCTGAAAGTTACCGTCTCACCTCTTGAATCCACACAATCAACGTTCCAGTGCCTGTTTCCACAACAACAAATCTACTGCGTTTATTTAGCTTTTTATTCCCAGCTGAAATACCTGAATTCAAGCTAAACCACAATCATGAATCCCAAAGTTGTACAAGTTCACGGTGCCCTTTTATGTGAAAAAGTATTGCCTGCCCACGGCAGAGCACAGAGGTATAGAAAGTGTAGTCTATGTACAGCACATTACAGTAGACTTTATAGCCTGTATAATATATATTATGGTAGAATAATGTAGCTATAGTGTAATATATAAAGTATCGTAGACAATAAAATGTATACAGTAATATTTTGGTAGACTGTAGTCTATTAAGGCTTTGTGTGATATTCAGCCTTTGTAATCAGCCGCACGCCAGCTGTTTAACTTTTATTTTTAAAGAGTAACCTAACTCTAAATTAACTTGTATGAGTTAATTAATTATGTCGACAGTAACTTCATCATACTATCAATTTATTCTAGTCCATTGCAAGCGTAGCTATTCGCATCAAGACGATTTAGAATCCTTTCCGATCCCTCATCGATTATACGTATGTTAAGCTTTTTAACATTTTAGTTATGTACAACAAAAGTTATTAACACCTAAAACTCAGCTTTTGTTTGTTGGTTAGTACCTAATTACAGTTCACAACCTGGCAGTCGGAGCCTAACCCTGACCGCATCCTGACCTCACATGGTTGTCTCTTAGAACCCAAGTTACTTTCGTAACCTAGAGCAAGCAGCCGACAGTCGTTGGGTCACAGGCGGTTTAAAGCTTTTATATCTTCTCTGACTTGAAAGTTATTACTGTGACAATCAATTTATACTTAAGATGAACGATTGTGAGGTAAAATTACATTAAAATTAAACGATCCTCTGACATCGCAAAAGTTCAGCCTTGTTTAGCCTTTTTTGCTAAATTATGTGTTTGTTAACCCTGAAAGATCCGACAAATCAGAGAAGTAGACGAGATCGTCAGTTTAAGTAAATTCAGACTTTACTCTTTAAGGCGTCCTGATGTCTTTAGCTGCTAACATAGCCACACCAATAAAAACCAGTGAAAACTTTACACCTCCAACATGTTTTTGGTAGTTGCTCAATTTTGGTCTCACAGGTAAAGAGAACGTAGCTGTTTACGCCGAGTGAATATCACATATAAACTGTATAGTATATATTATAATGGACTATAGTCTACTGTACACAATGAGAGAGTGAGCTGACCTTTTTCTCTTCAGTGAAACAGTGAAAATCAGCGACGGAGAGGTCATGTGACCTCTGACCTCAAGTCCCCCTAACCCTGAACAGAAACGTGAGCTCATTCACTCGTTGTAGGATTTCTCAGCCAATCAGAAACCAGCTAAACCTGCTGCTAATAGTCTCTTCGGATTACGTGGTGCTGAAGGGAAGTCAAGTGGTGTTCCTCCGCTGGGAAAAGTAGTTCCTCGTTGATTTCTACCTAAAAAGTTCTGCCTTGAAAATGAAAACAGGTCGTTCGGATTCGACGTCTTCTGAAGTTCCTATTTAGCTTATTCGTATTCCACAACCTCTTGGTTTAACTTAAGCTAAATGTATGCTAGCTGATGCTAACAGCATCACCTAAGAAAAGTAACTAAGTACAGTTACTCAAGTACTCTAATGAAGTACAACGTTGAGGTACTTTCCTTGAGAAATATTGTAATTTTTTCTCCACTACATTTATATAAGAGCTACAGTTACGAACAAGATTAAGATTTTACAAACAAAACATATGAGTTTTTGAAATATGATCCATCGCTACAGATTCAACAACTAAACGTATATAAAGTAGTAAAAAAGTCAAATTAGATCCATCGCGACCAACGACAACATTAACGCCTAGCTTACATATTAATATGTAATATTAATCAACAATAAGAGATAAGCTAACAGTGACTACGTTTACATGCACACTAATATTCCACTATTATTATGAATATGATGATATTGTGAATTTGATACAGGTTATGTAAACATCATATTCTCTTTGGATGTTCTGGAGGTAGATGTCTGATTAAACTTGTGTGATATGTTGATGTTGTTCAGGTTCTAGGATCATTCTGTGGACGTGTGAACATGATTCTGACTAATTATGAAACTATGAAGAGGAGGGACGTTTAAGTACTCAAAGGTTGGCCTTTGTTTTCATTGGCCATGTAAACAGCTTATTATTTTTGAAATTAGGGCAAAAACTAGAATGTCTGTGCATGTAAATGTAGTCATTGACAGCAGCCTCACTGTATACGGAGTACTTTTACTTTGATACTTAAAATACTTTTTTTTGCTAATACTTCTGCACTTTTAAGGGACATTTGGAAAGCAGGACTTTTTACTTATAATGGGGTGTTTTGATACTGTAGTACTGCTAGTTTTACTAAGTAGATCGTTGGAATACTTCCTTCCATTAGAAAGCAAATACAGCCTGAGTGATGGAGAGAAGACGGCGGTTCAGTGTGATCGTATAAAAATAGGTTTTCTTGTTTCGCTCGTTTTCACAAGTCTAGGTTTACGGTCCTGAAATTACCTGAAAAAGATGGAACAAAGAGCCAAAATGGCCGCCACTGCAATCTCAATAGTGTTTACCATGGTGACGCCTCAGCTTCCTGCTGATTGGCTGAGAATCCTGGCTTTCTTACCTGCGTGTGAAACCCTCCTCCTGATATTCACCTGGTTATAATGGTTTGATGGTTGCCTTCCTCCTCCTCCTCCTCTCTAGCTTCCTCTTTCTAAGGTATGTTTGTAGTTTCTTCTGGAGTGAGTGGCGTGTGTGTACTTGTAGTTTTTTTTCTTCCCTTTTCTAAAAACTAAAGAGCACACAAACGACAACCGATGAGCTCTGCAACGCAACAGATTGTAATCTTTATAATAAACTGTCATTTATTACAAAGTTAACCCTCGAGCTGTCCTGACTGGTTCTTTCACATTTACGAGATCTTCATTCAGACTAGTGGAAAGAAAACATCCAAAATACACATTCAGGGGTTGTTTTTACTACTTTGTCTATTATTATATTATATTATATTTGTCTGTAGATTTCTTCAAAATTCACCAAATGTGAATATTTAAAAAATATATAAGTTCTCATTTGCATATTTTAACATATTTTCAGAAAGTTACAAAAAAGGTCTTAATGAAAGTAATCAACTTAATATTTAGATATTTTAGTCTGACTTACTCACGTGTCGTGTCTCCTGTTCAGAGCAGCCGGGTCATGACCTGTGAAGAGTTAATGACTGACGAGTTTCACCACAGTTCAGAGATAGAAACTCTCTCTCAGGACCTCAACCTCCTCAACCTCTGAACAATTTATATATTATGATTGAAATGAGCTTTTAGCTTCCTGTTTGTGAACAGAAACCACTTAAGAAATCTCAAGATCATGGTTAGCTTAGCTTAGCATAAGGACTGGAAACGGGGAGAAACAGCTGGCCTGACCCTGTCGTAAGGTCTTATCATTTCTCCACCTATTTTAAAAATATAAATCATTGTTTATTAATCTGAACACATGGACTTGAGGGTCGCTGGTTCAAGTTTCGTTGTCATTACACAACAGGATTGCTCAATGAAGCCCCGTTCACACGACGCACACGGACAATATACAAACAAATCAATATCATCAACATAGAATGAGATAAATCAGCACCACGAGAAATGTATTTGATTTTATTTGGATCTCAGCTGACGAAATAAAACAGTTGATAGACAATAATTGTGCTAAACTACTTAAAATATAGCGGTAGGAGCGCCTGGTAGCTGATCATAACAACAACGTCCCGGGTTCAACTCCAGCCTTCCATTTCTACAATTTCCTATCAAATGAACCCAAAAGAATATATATAGATTTGATAAGATTAAAGATGGAGAACCAATCCCCCTACAGACCCACCTCTTCCACCCTCATCCTCAACTCCGGAGCACCCCAGGGCTGCGTTTTGGGGCCTCCTGATGTTCTCCACGTGTAGCTACTTTTGAACTCCAAACACCAATCAACAAGTGTTCCGACGATGCAGCTGTGGTCGTCGGCAACGATGAAAAGACATACCTGAAGGAAGGAGAGCACCTGACCTGCTGGTGTCAAGACAACAACCTTCTCCTGAACCTTAGCAGGACTGAGGAGCTGATAGCAGACTTTGGGAAGACGCAGGTGTTGAAGAAAAGTTTCTTTCAGGTGCAATTCTGTGGCTGGTTCAGATGCGTTCACATCAAAGCTGTAGAATTCTCTGTGACCAGACTCAGAGATCATATCTTACAGGAGCAGTTAAACGAAAGGTGTGGGCTGGGCTAAGCTTCACAGTAAGGATAAGGGACCTTGAAACTGTCTGCACCTAAGATGTGTATTCGTTGTCAGTTCAAGGTCTGAGAACCCAACTCACAAATCTGTTGTAGTGGATTTGCATTCTTCTGTGAAGATGTGGGCTCAACAGTCACCGACCTCCCGTCGCTGCAGTATCCTGGGTTTTCCTGCAAGGTGACTGGGTGGTGGCGTATAGCTTCAGGTCCTAGCTGGGTTAGTTCCATCGCGGCTCGGTGGTCAACCTTGGGGCAGTTAATCGTCTCAAGGTTCGTTCAATCCCCCCCACTTCCTTCCCTAATGTTGATGAGTGTATTCTTTTTTATGGCATAAGTGCTCCAGTAATGAACACGAAAAGACACCAAATTAAGACGGAAATGCAGCAGAATGCATGGAAGCTATCGGCCACAGCGTTTCAAGAGAAGTTGGGAAGAAGGTACCGGATAGAGCTACCTTCAGGTCTCTATCGGATCCTGAATCAGGTCACTGCCTAAAGCGTTGGTTTTACTTTATGCACAGACGTGGAAAACCGGACTTCTTTATACTACTACTACTAACAACATTCTCAAAGCTCCTCAGAGTTTTCCATTTCATCGTCTCAATCCCGTCTTCAGAGAGAGAAAATGTTTGGATGTGCACCGACACGCCGATGGTGGTTTCACTTTGGCCAGCGAGGACTCAAGAGCTGCAGGATCACCTAAACAGTAACTTATTCAACAAGTTAAACTTGGTTTCAATAGGGAGGGGGTGTGGGGGGGGGGAGTAAACCAGAGCTGAAACCTTATTGGCTGTTAAACTCCTCCCCCTCCATGCTCTCCCATTGGCCGGTGGACTCCTGACTGTCTTATGATGAGCTGCAGAGTCGACGCACCTAAGTCTGCAGGTCAACACCAGAACAGGTACGCTACCCAGAGTGTGAGTGTATATATATATATACAGTATATATGTATATATATGTATACACACACATAAGTAAAAGTATTGATTAGTAGTAGTAGTAGTTGTGTTTTACTATCATATCTGATGTTTCTGGATTAATATTACTGCTGCATTAATGTGTATGTTGCATTTTACTGCTGTAGATCTTTGTATATACATATATATATATATTTATATATATATATATATGTGTGTGTGTGTGTGTGTGTGTGTGTGTGTGTGTGTGTGTGTGTGTGAGTGTATATACACAGTGCATGTGCTTTTAAATGCATTGATTCTCTCATACAATGAAATAACATTTCAGAAGCAATAGAGATTAAAAAAAACAAGATAAAAAGAGAGTTTTTTGATTTATAGGAGTTAGATGTTTATAATAGTTAATGGTGATATTTAAAGTCCTCAGTAGTCCTGGCTGAAGCTGTTAGTCTTATTGTGTGTCAGCCAGCGTGTTCTAGTTACCATAGTCCTCTGTGGTGGTTTTACAGTCTTTCTGGATCTCTGCAGTTACGCTTCTGATTCATTATCAGGTCTCAGCATGTAGTTGATATTATAATCTACGGGATTAGACATTTCTTCTCCAGACGTTGGATGTTTCTCGGTGATTCATCGCCTACCTGGTGGGCCACGCTGCCGCAGCGCATACCTCTTTGTTTCAGAACAGGAGTACTTTGGTTTCTGAGGTGTTCAGGACCAGATTATTGTCCGAACACCGCCGGGCGAGAGGGAGGAGGGCTGGACTCGACACACGGGTGGCCGTGTGTCGAGTCCAGCTGCTGGCCAGCTGTGTCAATTAAGCGTCAACCTCCGGTTCTGAAGAGTGAAGCCGATGCTTCTCTCTAATGTCCATCTGTGTTCTATATTCGTGCAAAAAACCATTTGACTCTCTACACCTTGTATTCTGTCATGTTGGTGTATATAGTTCGATAAAGTTTTAACCTCATGTTGATAGATTCATCGACAGGTTGTTGTTCTTCCAGGTCGACATGACGTCCATCCCAGATCTGATCAAGAAGAAGAGAGACGGAGGAGTGCTGAGCGACGAAGAGATCAAAACCTTCATCCACGCCGTCACCAACAGAACGATAGAAGAATGTCAGACAGGTACGAACCGTCTCACTCTCACGTTCACACACTGTGCTGAGGTCGTGATCCACCTCTTCCTCTCCGCTAAGGGGCCATGCTGATGGCTATCTGGCAGAAGGGGATGGTCCAAGAGGAGATCGAGACCCTGACCAGGGAGATGATGTCATCGGGGGAAGTGATGTCATGGCCGAAGGAGTGGGCGGGGCTGATGGTTGACAAACACTCAACGGGAGGAGTGGGGGATAAAGTCAGTCTGGTGTTAGCGCCGGCGCTAGCTGCCTGTGGCTGCAAGGTACGCCCACCTGTACTCATCACACCTGTACTCATCACTCCTGTACTCATCACTCCTGTACTCATCACACCTGTACTCATCACTCCTGTACTCATCAC